GAGAGAGAGAGAGAGAGAGAGAGAGAGAGAGAGAGAGAGAGAGAGAGTGTGTTAGAGTTGGACCAAAGCTTATGAAGCTTGGCTAGGAAGATTCTGGGCTCCTCTCCATCCAAATACCTTGACACATACTTCATTCACTCCCAACACCCACAGCTTGTCTCTTCTTGTCTTCTGTTTGTCCTCAAGGGTTAAGTGGTGGTATTTACAAGCCACTCTGAATTGACACAGGAGTACAAACCTTATAGGCCACTGTGTGGCCAGAAAACAGGGTTCAGGCTGAGGTGTTTTTTTCTTTGTTGGATTGTTTTTTGTGCGGTAGCCTTTAGAAGTGTGACATGCTGCCCAAGTCCAGACGCTTGGCTTCCTCCCTGACTCCCTCCCTCCCTCCCTCCCGTCTTCCCAGGCCCTACATTCTTTTTTATAAAGCCAGATCTGGCAGACATCCACAGTCACTTCTGTTCTGGAAAGCTAACGTACCCTCTGTCCCTAAAGCCTGCCTTCTAACCCAGCCAGCTCTCACTGTGCACAGTTCACTGCCTTGCAAGTTCAGTGGTCCTGGTTTCCCAGGAAGTGTCAGATGATTGGTTCTTCACCAGAGAGATTAGAGCCATCCTCCTGGGTGTACAGAAGCTGGGAACCAGCAGGGAACAGAAGGCGCAGGATCAGGTCTCTTTGAGCACAGCACTCTGCCTGCTGTAATTGGAAGAGCAAGCAGACAGGCCTGCCCCACAGAAACAGCCTTTAACAACCAAATGTCCTTATGAGTTTTACAGCTATAAACAGTGAGGAAAATGTCACTAGCTAAGGAGCAAGGTTCTCGCCCTGTGTGATCTCAATCAACAGCTACCTTTCTCTTCAGTCTTACAAGTATTAGGGACACGCTGGCTCTTCAGAAGGTAGCCTGACAGTTGCCTCTTACATGGGATCCATATCCTTGCATCTCCCCTTTCAAAGCAAATAAAGTCCGAATGACAAGGTGATTCCAGACACTGGTTTATTATTGGTGGTGGTAGTGTCGGTGATTGTTTGGTTTCAGACCCTGGGACAAGGGACTAAAGTGTATACTTTACATATCAAAGCAGACCTGGCTTCCAGGTTCTCCCAGCATCCCTCAGTCCTTACCTGGCATACCCTGCCCCCAATCCTGAACTTTCCAGCCCAGGGTCTGAGCTTCCCCCAAAGGCTCCTCCCTATTCAATCCAGACATTTTGGCCTCCTGCCCTCTCCTCCTTCCCTTGTCTCTGTGCATGCACCCTTTCTCTCTTCCCCACCCTCCCTTCCCCCATGATAACTTCCCTCCTTGGAACCAGAGAACTTACCCACTGAGAGCAGTTTCCCAATAATCTTGCCTTCAATATATTCTAATCTGGCTTGAATTGGCTCATTTCACGGGCAGAAATAACCTATAGGTGGTGGTGGTGGTGGTGGTGGTGGTGATGGTGGTGGTGGTGGTGGTGGTGGTGGTGGTGATGATGGGTGGTGGTGGTGGTGATGGTGGTGGTGGAAGTAAGGAGCCAGCATCAGCATCACATCAATCAGGGATGATCACTGGTGGTTGTCGACATCTTGGTTCATTTGCTTCTGTTTTTAAATAAATGCACAAACACATTTTTTTCTTTATTTCTTTTCTTTTTTTCTTTAAAAAAAAAAGAAACTCAGGCTTAGGATTTGATTGGTAGCATCTTTTTTTTTTTAAATCAGCAATGTTTAAAATCATGCTGTACGGAAGCGTGTGACGATTTAGATTTGATTTTGACAGCAGTTGGAGATTAATAAATAATTGGCTTGATATCATATGTTAGTGTCACATTGATCTGTGTGGGTGGGTGTGTATATAGTCATGACACTTGTTATTTTAAGGTTTTCTTTATTAGTGCTGTGTGTTGCATGTGTGAGCACACACGTGTGGAAGTCTGAAGACCACTCTTGGGGATTTGGGGGGTCAGTTCTCTCCTTCCACACTATAGAGGCAGGGCGTCTTTTGTGTCTGCTGCTGGCCTGTGTGCTCCAGGCTACCTGGCCCATGAACTTCTACCCATTCTCCTGTCCCCACCTCCTACCTCACGGGTGGGCAGAGTTACTGGGTCCATTATAATTTGAGCCACCACATCTGGCTTTTGATATGGGCTCCTGGGACTGAACTCAGGTCCTTGGGCTTGCTAGCAGCGAGCGTTTTTTTACAAGGTAGATCATCTCGCCAGCCTCGTCTTGGTTCTTAAAAAATCAACTCACACTGAGTATTTTATGGTAGTCTCAACGAATCTACATGATCTCAGTGGCCGCGCCAAGGTGACGTCTGTTTCTGCTGTCATTTTAGCACGCTTGTTTCTGGGAAGTCATTTGGCTTCTCGGCTGACACCAGTTCCCTGTGAGGTGTGTTTCTTCTGGCTTTATAGGTCTGGAGTTAATGATGGGTAGGCAGTGTTTCTGGTATAATTATTTATTTACTTTGCCAGTGCTTTTTAAAAGCATTTTTCAAAAGCAATGGTGAAAACAATATATTTTTTTTTTTTTGGTGTGGACCCAGCTTATTTCATGCTTGATTCAAAGTTCGTAACTTGTATGTCTCTGTGCAGTAACCAGAGGTAACTTGTAAAATCAGAAATGTGCTGTGCCGTGTTGTATCTGGTGTCTCCGACTACTGTCATGCCTGTCATTTGAAGTTTGCCCAATAGAACAGTGAGAGATGCTGAAGGTTTGGGTCGTTTTATTTTAAGAGAAGACTGATTGCACCGTATTATTATTTTAGCAAAGTGACTGCACAGAAAAAAAAAAGTGACTGGGAAAAAGATTTGATATTTAAGAAGAATTTGTACAAAGTTTACCTTTAAGGGATCGGGCTTCTGGTTCAGAAACTGCTTTGAAATTGCAGTTGGGTACATGAAATTATTGAACCAGCTTTTAGAAAAGCAGACGAGCTTCTAGATGTGTGTGCGTGTGTGCGTGTGTGCGTGTGCATGTGTGCATGTGTGTGTGAATATGTGTGTGTGTGCATGTGTGTGTGAATATGTGTGTGTGTGCATGTGTGTGCGTGTGTGCGTGTACATGTGTGTGTGCGCGTGTGTGTGTGTCCCCACACATGTGTATGTATAATGTATCTATTACATATAATTTAAAAATATAGAGAGTGCTGAAGAGAGACATGTGGCAGTTGGTGTGTGGCAGCCAGTCTTCTCTCCCCTGAGTGGGTTGTTGGAGCGCTCTGAAGCCCTGGGTGGTCTGAGGGTGCCTTGTTCCTCTGGACCAGGCTTCATGAAGCCACCCCGGCTGTCTCTCTCCATTCTAGTTCATTTTTTTCATTAACAGGCACCTCTGTCCGCAGACACCAGGGTTCGTTCTCGCCATCTGATGGGGCTCCGTTTACTGTTTCAGGTTGAGAGCCTTTGGGAACGTGCTGTATGACATTGGCGCAAGTCCTCACCGTCTGCCGTGGCCATCCTTGGATTTGAGCCAGCATGGCCTATACCACAAAAGTTAATGGCTGTGCTGCAGGTAAGTGTGCTTAGAGGGAGAAAGAGGAGACAGGATATGTCTTAGTTCAAACTACTTTTTTATTTCTCTTTTAATAATGGAGAGATCACAGTAAGTAGCCTAGAGAAGTAGAATTCCATGGCAATTTTCTATCCGGTTGAAGTTGTTTCTTCTTTAATCTATTAGAAAACCCAAGCCAGACAGTGGTGGTGCACACCTTTAATCCCAGCACTTGGGAGGCAGAGGCAGGTGGATTTCTGAGTTCAAGGCCACCCTGGTCTACAGAGTGAGTTCCAGGACAGCCAAGACTACACAGAGAAACCTTGTCTCGAAAAATCAAAAAAAAAAAAGAAAGAAAAAGAAAAAAAAAGAAAAAAGAAAACTCTCCCTAAAATACACACACACACACACTCACTTAATGGGAGGGGGTATTAGAGGACATCTTTGTCAGTGTCCACCAACCATCATGTAGTTCCAGGGACTGAACTCCGATGGCCAGGCTTGGCAGTAAATGCCTTTACACCCCCAAAGAGCCATCTGGCCAGACTTTCTGCTGATGTGTTGAGACAGAAATGTAAACATCTTGAATGCTGATGTAAGTATAAGATGTATGGAACTCAGGTTAGACCTCTCTCCGAGTGATGGGCAACCAGTCTAGATGCTGAAAACCAGTTCCTAGGAGTTTCGTTTGATGGGACTAGCCATGGAAAAAGGGGGTGTAGTGGGCAGAGCCCGGGCACAGTTGTTTATTTCTCCAATGTCAGTATTTTTTGGGTAACTTAATTCACTGAATGATGTTATAATTTTTATTTTATATGTGTTGGTGTACATTGCCGGCATGTTTGTCTTTGTGAGGTTGTCAGATCTGAAGTTTGCAGACAGTTGGGAGCTGCCATGTGGTTTCTGGGAATTGAACTCAGGACCTCTGGAAGAGCAGTCAGTGCTCTTAACCATTGAGCCATCTCTCCAGCCCTCATCACTGAGTGATCTTGTCTTTACTAGATGGGGTGGCAGTAAGCAGGCGAAGGTTCTTTTATTCTCATCTTAGCTATACTCTTAGTGCACACATTGCACACCCCACAATGATACATAGGCTACAGAATGGCTGTATAGGCCTTCCCTTAAATGTGGTCCCCTAATCCTTTCCCTAAAAATAACTGTTTGGGGTTTATAGAACACCTCTCATGTTCTTATGAATCAATGAGAAACAGCCAATAAAAAGCATTACAAGACCAAACAGCAGTCAGCTGCCGTCAGAAAGGTTGGACCACACACTAATACTACTGGGGGTACTATTCTAGCTGGGTAAGGGGTGCTCCTGAGTCCTTCCATACTCCGTCTTCTCCACAGAGTTCTTGAGCTAGAATGGACAAAAGGGACTGATTCTAAAATGATCATGTGGGTGCTGGGATGTGTAAATTCTTAGGAGACAATCCTGACATGGGGTAAAGATTATGTATGGAGCGTGCAAATTCATCTGCACTACGCAGCTTAAGAAATAAACTGTGCCAGAACATAGCCATTACTGAGTACCTACTGTGTGCTGGGCACTGTTTTTGTACTAGCGATATAGCAGTGACCAAGACAGGCATGCCTGGTCTCTGCCCTCTGGGATTGTATACAGTGGAAGCCAGGGCCTGCCGTGTGGTCAGGGAGTGCTAAACCAGGACATATGTTTACGCCACAGAAGTATTTGGCATCTGAGGTTCACACTGAATTGGTGCTCTTCTGCCTGGCCCACCTGTACCCCTTCCACTTGCAGTGCCCTCCTTGCCGCTCACCCCTTTCTGCATCAGTCACCGCCATGGCGATGTCTCTTCTTAGCAGAGTCTCAGCGCTACCAGTTTGTATGCATTCATCCAACACGCTACTAGTGACTGGAATCTGCGCTCCTGAGCTTGCTTCATCATAGGTTGATTGCTCTTGACTCTTCTGTAACTAGCCAGGCAGTAGGCAACGATCGCTGGTGAGAAGAGTAGCTGGATTTCTTCAGGGTCTCAGAATGGGGACGGCCTGCTCTTCGTCCAAGTTCCCAAGTCATGTCGCAAACTGGCTACCCTGATTGATACCTCTCTAAACGCTAATTAATGTTGTGAAACTTTAATTAGTGCTTAGGGCTCCTTCAGAAGTCGAATAACCAGTGGCTGATTTGTCAGATGAAGATAATAACACGTGTCCTCTCTTCTTCACAAGACAGGTGTAAAGAAAAAATAAGCAAAGCTGTGAACTTTGTCAAGCATCGTTTCCTGGTTCTTTTGAGACAGGCTCTCCCAGGTTGGCCTTGAACTCAGTCCTGTTACCTCCTCCCGAGTGCTGGGATTATATAGGCATGTGCCCTTACATGTGTTTTGGAAGAACATTTATTAAGGCACAAAGTGCAAGTCAGACGTCAGAGGACAGGCCAGTTGTTGTCCCTGTCGTGAGCCCCTGCTCTGGTGCCTGTGGAACCCTGGCAGGTACTAAGAGCTAGCGTGCTCTCCTAACAGTTAAATGGAGCGAATGGATGAGGACGATTAAGTGACTTTTTCTGGCCAGTTACCATCTTCATGTTTGATAAGAGTTTCCTTCCCTCCTTTATGGCTTCTCCCTCTTGTAGATGACTGCATCTTTCTTCAGACGTCTTCTTACTTAGGATCTCTGCTCACTTATTTACTGACTACATTAAAAACTAAAAATGGGTGTGGCTGGAGGGATGCTCAGCATTGAAGAATATTTGCTGCTCTGGCAGAGGACCTGGGTTTGGTTCCCAGCACTCAGATGACAGCTCACAGCCGTCTCTAACTCCAGCTTCAGGACATCTGATTGATACCCTCCTCTAGCCTTTGTGGGCACTAGGCACACAAGTGATGCATGTGTATCTGTGCCAGCAAACATGTCTACCCATAAAATAAAAATAGCTTTTAATTCCATTTTAAAAATTAATTTGATAATATTCATAAATTTGATGGGAAAATAGAAGTGGGGGAATACTTACAGGTTTTTGATGTTTAGGGTTTGTTTGTGGGTTTTTTGGTTTGTTTGTTTGTTTGTTTGTTTTTCGAGACAGGGTTTCTCTGTAGCCCTGGCTGTCCTGGAACTTGCTTTGTAGACCAGGCTGGCCTCAAACTCAAGATGTGCCCATCTCTGCCTCCTCAGTGCTGGGATTAAAGGCATGGACCCTCACCTCCAAGCTCCCCCCATAATAGGTCTTATTTTTAGCATTTTCCCTTCCTTGTCAGACAAACCTAGGGTTTCAGTAAGTTTTCGTACATTTTGGTTTACAGTTCTTGGCTTTAACGCTTTCTGCATTCTGCCTGGCCTACATGGAAAATAGCTTTCAAGTTTATCTTTGTGACAACTTCCTGATACCCCTTGCCATATTTCTGGCAGCATGGTTACTCTTGCTTTTTTTGTTGGGGTGTTTGGAATTAAAGCAGCCACACCTTCCCTCGTGGAAGATAGTGATGCAGAGGACTTCCTTTTGCCTTGCCATTTTTCTCCTCTTCCGTGGTTTCCTGAGAGTAATTTCACAGAAACAGGAGCTAAAGTGTACAGCTTTTGTAATGGTGGCTTCAGTAACTGTCAGAGGGCTTCAGGGATTTGGCTGTGGATTTTGTCTCTATGCTGATCTCAAATGAGGTACAAAGGGCATTGATAAGGACCAGGTCAAGCAGACAGAGCCCGAGACTCCTGCAGAGCAGGCAAAGCTAGCTACAGCACCCACAGCCCACTCTGGGTTGTGTAAATATTTTTTCTGGGCAAGTGCATTTCTCAAACAGGACTCTGAGCCCACTGTGAGCCTAGCAGCTGGAATTTCAAGTTTAAACACTACTCCACATTGACTAGTCTGCCTGGAATTACTGTGATTTCCAAGACCATCTTTCGAAAGAACACAGCTGAGCTGCAGTGTGATCAGCTCTGCCACTGGTTCCCCTGTCCCCCACCCCCCAGCAGACCCCAGCAGAGCTCAGACTGGTTAGAAAACTGTCCAGACACTCCGAGACTTCCCAGGGTCTCATGATGCTGTTTGTAATAGGGCGCTAGCTGTGTGTTCTTATTGAGCCTTGTGTTTTCCCATAAGAACTGTCGTCAGGCTGACAGAAAAAGCTGAGGGTAAAACTGAATTTCTTAACATGAAAATACAGGTAGGAGCTGGAGGAGTCCCTTTTCTTTCAGTTGTCCGAGCACTCCTCCCTCCTCTCAGATGGCAAACTCACACTGTGAAGCTCACACTGGCTAAGGCAAGACTGCCTTGTGTTGACACTGACAGTGTATGTAATATCTGATAAGATAATATGACAAAGCAGACCAAGAGATGTGTGAGGATACATACACACACAACCACATATAACATATTATGATGTACTTATTGTTGTGTATATAAACAATAAATATTTTGTTTGTTTATTTCATAAGATTTACTAAAACTTGAAAAGCAGAATAGTTAAAAACAAGCTGTCCTTTAAGATAGGAATTCTGGTAATAGTTTTTTCTCTTTACCATGTGTTAGTTTCTTAATGTGCGTGATGAAGGTTGTGTTTATGTTTTTTTTAATGCACATTATTGTACATTGTTTCATTGAGTTAAATTAACCTCTTTAATACCTTATGCTTCTTTACAGTACCATGCACTTCCTTCCTGGCATTAGCTGTGTTTATATATTGGATTTAACTAGATTGTGCATTCACCTTTTAATACAACTTAGATATTAATTTTTATTGAAGGCTCATTCCACAGCGAAGGTCATAAATGAAATAATTTTTCTTATAGCAATGGTCTTTGACAAGGCTGGTTGGTTGTTTGCCTGTTCTGCTTTTGTAAGCTTTAGGTTTTATAACTGTTAATATGCCAACAGCAGCTACAAATAGAAGACCCTGGGTTTTGGAGTCTTGCCAGTCTAGCTAAGCAGAGCCCCAGAGTTGATCCCCACCCCTGGAGAGGCTGGACAAGCTCCTCCCTGCTCAGGGCTTGCCTGCTACATTAACTCTGAAGG